CCATGAACACGCACAATGAGCGCCAGTGGGAGGGCCTGGAGACCATGATGGCCCTCTCTGCCGCCTGTGACGTCGCCTTCCCCGAGCTAGAGATGGTGGACGTCAAGGAGGAGGTGAGGAGAGAGGAGCAGCCCGTCGCCGCGTTTCACCCGGATCTGGTGGGCCAGCGGTGAAGCTGGTCGTGCACGGACGACGACATGGCCGACGCCATGGGGGCCGTGAACTGGTGCCCCACGCCGCCGCGGTCTCCGGAGTGCGAGCCATCGCCACGGGGGGAGGAGGTGCAGGCGCCTGCCACCTTCCAGGAGCCTCCCGCCTTCCAAGGGCCGGCCCAACTCTGGACGCCGCCGCCCTATATCGACCTCACTCGCGACGACGATGACAACAGCAACGTGTGAGGAAACCACGACGGGCACGGCAGGAGCGCGGGGGCGGCGTTTTTGTTTTGTTTTTTTATGTTAATTAAATCTATGTGAACGGTGGAACCGGGTTGTTATGGGGTCGTGAGATGTTTAATTATGTTTTTATGTTTTTACGTTTGTGTTTATTTTAGTTTTGTCAGCATTTTTTTCAGTTTTTGTGATTTTTTTAATCACGTTCATCTCAGACATGATTTGGTGTGTGGCCGTGCTTTGGACGCACCGGCACGGCAACGGCCCCAAACAGACATGGGTGACCCATTGCCGCCTCAAACAGACAAAAACAGATCGAAATGGATGTTCGTTTGGGGTCGTGCGCTGAAGTTGGCCTAAGATCTAGTACGTTGGGTAGTCCTAGTGTATCTTTCCTTTTTCTTTCAACCAGCAAACAACCTACTACAGGAGTACTAATATGCGTGAGTTTCTTGACCATCGATCTATCACGTGTGCCTACAAGTCAGATTTAACACCCAAAAGTACCGATCTGGTGGAGCCAAGAAATTCTCACGTGCCAAGCCTCTCCCAAATGGAATCTGGAGTGTATAGAAAAAGAAGATTGCCTTCCATCTCGAGGAGCAAAGAGTTTGACCCTGGTTTGGTTCAGTGGATCACGGGATGATACCACCAATCAGCAAAACACCAAAGAAGGAAGTGGCAGGAGAGATGGCGGACACATGGTGCGGTGCCCCTCTGCGCTGTCGCCCATGGCGTCTGGTTCCCACACCCCCACCCCCGCCTCACGATACGATTTCCACCATCACCGACCCCGCGCAGTCATGTGATGTGCAAGTGCAAGCAAGAAGGGAAGGAAGCGGCTCGTGGGTTTGGCACTACGCTGGACGGCTGGAGGAGCTACTTCTACTTGTATCCCTTCGCGCGGCGCGGGGGAGGAGACAAACACGCTGTTCCAGTTCCACCGGTGGTGCCCCAAAGCCAGCGGCCGGGACGCCAAAAGGCCAGCACAAAGCACGTCCCTTTTCCAAAGTGCGTGCAGGTGCAGCTGCGCATAATCTATCAACGACTCGTCGTCAAGGAATTACTAGTGTCAACGAAACAGTTTGGCCAATTCATGCTTTCACAAGTTATCACTACTACTAGTAGGACCTAACCAGAACGTTGTGCACTACAGGAAGTACTTTCTTCTGTACTGGTGCTGATGCAATGGAAGGGAGGGATGGCTAATGACTGACACCGAATCTTAGCTGGAACATACACGGGACGGCACGGACCTGGAACGTGACGGTGGAGACGGGGTTGCCCCTGCTGTAGCTGGTCCTGGAGGCCGGCGCGGCCGCGTGCAGCATGCACACCAGCGACTCCCATTGGTTCAGGCTGATGGAGTCCCCCACGAACAGTACCTTCTTCCCCTTCCATCTGCTCAGCAAGTCCCGCCCGTCGAACCTGGTGCGGCGGCCATGGCCACGCATGAGCAATGCGCCATTTCGTCAGCGACCTTCGTTTCCGACGAGATCAGCCGGTACCGACTCGCGTGCGTGCGTGCGTGCATACATACCTCGGAAGCTCGCAGGAGGCGGGGCGCCACCGGTACTTGAGGTAGAGCTTGTCGGGGCGGCCGTACTTCTGGCAGTCGAACTCCGGCTCCACGAAGGGGCAGCCCGCCGCGTCGTACATGGGCATCGCCTCGTCGTACACCCAGCTGCCCTGGAACATGTTGCACGACGCCATGCCGCTGCCGGCGTGGCTCCCCCGCGGACCCGGCCGGTGCTGCCTCGTGCTGCCGTGCCTCGGCTTCGACGCCGGCTTGTGCCGGATGGCCAGGGTGGACGTGGACGTGTTCGCCGCGGCGGCGCCTGCGCGCAGCGAGCACGCGAGGGCGGCGAGGAGGAAGAGGCGTAGCTTGTGCCGCGGCCGCTCGGGGGCCATTGCTCGCTCGGCGCTATGGAGCGACGAGCTGGGGACGGCGGGGCGGGGTGAGCTAGCTAACCAGTGACGGACAGTGAGCTTTATAAGGTGCGGGACGGGTTTTTTTACGCCTTTTATCCGGTCAGCTTTTCTGGGTAATATATCTCGGGTTAGATTCTTGCTCTCTCTCGCTTGCAGGTGGGGCTAGCACCGACGAAACGAGATTTCCTCGTCAGGCCGACGATGCTATGGTAATCAGACATGGTGGTCCGGGCATTGCGCGGCACACGATTTCATGGTGTGCAAGGTTTTAAGGCCTTCTTAATCCTATGGGAAGATTACTCATTTTAGGGCCTCTTTGATTCTAAAAAGATTACCGTTCTTAAGGCCTCTTTAATTCTAAAGATCCTAAAGATTGTCGTTTTTAGGGTCTCTCTGATTCGCAAGATTCTAAAAACATGAGAAAAAAAAACATTAAGTTGAAATGTCACGCTCATGTCAATCTTATAGGGTTTTGATATGTTCGATTGCATCATAAAAAAATAAAATATTATTTTAAAAAGTTTGAGTGGATACGAGAAATCCTATGAAAAGTTGTATGAAGAAATCCTTATAAAAAAGGTCATGCTATGCATCGGCCAGTGGATAAAACAAAAACATTTCGCCGTCTCTAAAGCCATTTGATTGACGTATAAAAAGTCAGATATCATCAATAACATGTGTGTTGCTGTTGTGGGTTTCTCAAGACAGATGTCCTCGTAAAAGGACTTAGTCATGGGCCATTACCATAAGGTGCACTGGTACAGCGAGCTGCTATACAAATGGTTTTAACCCCTTTTCGCGACGGCATTTTAAACCGTCGCCATGGGGGGTCCTTCCCACATGACCCGAAAACCATCGGGATAGGCCATTCGGTCACACACGCTGCGCAAAATGAGCTCGTGTGCGGTCGGGCTAGCCATCGTATATAATTATACAGGCCCAATCGTTTCCATTCATAGGTCCATCCCACACAGTGATTCCCAGAGAAATGTTTCCATTCGTCTGCACAACCCACACAGTCAATCCATGAGAAACGTTTCCGTTCGTCTGCATATTCCGCATAGTGAATCCCAGAGAAACGTTTCCGTTCGTCTGGATATCCCACACAGTGAATCCTAGACAAACGTTACCATTCGTATATACATCTCACACAGTTTTATGTATAGCCTCGTGTGCGATAGGTGTAACGATCACACACGCTCTGCCTCCGTAAATCGTTTGCTTTATTCAACTATGTCACACACGATTTGATGAAGAAAATTGTATGCCATTGGACTATTCATCACAACCGCTTTTACTCCTAGAATCGTTTGCAAAGTTCCATGACCCATTTAGCAGATTTATTAGTTTACAATTAATAATTCCAGTATTATGCAAATTCACATTTCATATTGAACGGTTGTTTACCAATTTCATATCATGCACATAAATATATTTTAAAATCACAGTACGATAGCTACCTGAAAACAGCACAGTACAACATATAGCTAGTTCACCTTCATAAGAACAATATTAGAACAATATATTCATTTCCCTAATCGACTGATGCATGCTCAGCCATGTTCGTCTTCTCCACCTCTACTTTCAGTTTAGTAAGAACCTATTTTGCACTGACCAACTAGGAAAGTGTCTTCTCCTTCGCCAATATCATCTTAGCAAAGTCTAATTAAAAAATTCTAAGCTCATTCTCCATCTTTCTCTTTTTTTCCTCATCTTGAAATATTCTTCAGCGTTGACAACACTTTCTCTAAGCCTAACTCTGTTCTCTTCCTCGTACATGCTTCAGAGCTTTGCTAGGCATATCTTCAAAGACTGCGGTCACTCCTGATCAACCCACTCTAGGTAAGAACACTTCCGTTCATACTATAATATTTAAAACTAAATCAGTAACAATTGTAGGAAGATGGGTTCCTAGCAACATAGAAAATCACCAAATACATATTTTGAAAAACTGAAGAAACAGGTTAATTATGATATATCTTCTAAAAAAGATCAATGTGCAAATGAATTAATTGCTATTGAGACAACAACCAAATTCAGAAACATTAGAAGGTATAATTAACTACAACAACGCTACAAGTTCTTACTCATGTACTATAAATAACAAATTAAACATTTTATGAGGAAGCTAAATATAACTGCAACAGCATAGCGGCAGTATTTGAATGACATCACATTGATACTAACAGGTGTGTACATGCACAAATTTAGTAACATAGAACTAATAGCACTAAAGCCGTCCACTATGTATGCCAAAACCGGTGTCAAGAGAACCGTTGCTACATTTGGCACTGGTGCCCTGCACTGGCGAGCTGATGTAGAGAAAAAAATCAGGGAACCGGACTCCGGAGCACCTAGTTGCTCCGATGCCTAGTTCCTTCGTGCCATTAAGTTTTAGTATTTTTACTGCTTGGCTGCTCGAATGTGTGGACTAAAGTTGGCTGCACAAACTACTGAAGCGGTGCAAATAATTTTCTAATGTCACCGCTGATGAGATGGTAGCATTTTTAGAAACTAGGTAGAAACGGTGACACTGTCTTAATCACATCCAGAATAACATAGCACAGTGACAATGCCTGAATCACATCTAACAAATGATTTGTAACAACGAAAGTGGGGCTAACCTTCTCTACACATGTTAGAAACTTCCTCCCACCGTCCATAGATTCAAACGCACTAACTTCACGATGGAGATTTATTGTGACAACGAGCAGGCAGATCTTCAGCCACCCCGCTCCATTAGTTGCAACTGATGGTCCTAGGGAGCTATAAGAGAAATAAATGACTCAACTCGACCGCCGGGTTAAAGTCCTTCATTTCAAAACGTAACCCAAAAGAGAGAAGAGAGGCATACCCGGGTGGTGAAAGAGTCGTCATTGGAGGAGGAACCGCTAGAGAGGTCATTGAAGAAGATGATGGCGACCGCGGTGGTCAGATGCGAGATGGCGAGATCCATGAAGCAAGCGAGGAAGTGGCTATAACTTGGGAAGGAAGGAAGAAGGGAACAAAGAAAATGTGACTTGTGGTCGGGAAGAAAAGGGGGTGGGGATGGGGGGAGTTAGATATCTCGGCGGTAGACCAAAAATTTCGAAGGTGGAGGGAAACTTTGCGTGTGATGCCACTGGACACCAATCATTTTGAACGAATGTGTGCATCGCAAACGATTCTTCTGGTTTATGCGCTATGAATTTGATCATTCAAATTTGGGTGGAAATTTCCCTGGGTACTGTCCTCATCCACGTCATTGCATAATTTAACATCGCTTACTAATTTGGCCACACAAAAGAGCCTACAACCCATAGACCACACTTACTTAATCAAGCAATTTTAGCAATTAAACAGAGCCAGTTGACCTAAACATTGCTCTAACAAAAGTCCAGCCTTATAAACAAAGGCTAAGTACGCATAATTTTTATTTTTTTACGCCTTTTATCCGGTCAGCTTTTCTGGGTAATATATCTCGGGCTAGATTCTTGCTCTCTGACTTTTTTCCCGAAAATCTAGGAGCCCCCTCGAGAGGCGATTAGGGTTTCGGTGGATACGCGGCGGCGCTCGCGGACACCTCGTCGGCGGGGCGCTACAATCTCTGGTCTGAGGGATGGCGACATCTACAGATCCAAGCGGAAGCTCCGAGGGGGGGGGCGCAGTCACCCAGGGCGGCAAGGGCACGTATGGAGGAGGCTATGGGGAAGCTGGATCTAACCGAGGAGGAAGCCACGCCGCTGGTGGTTGATGATCTCGAGGAAGGAGTCCCGCAGAAGTGGTCGATGCTGGCAAGGTTCTACATCGGAAGATTTTTCACATCCAAACCATTGCTAATGCGTTGAGGCCGGCTTGGGGAAACCCTAGGGGTTTGTTCTTCAGGCCGGTGGGCGAGAACACCTTTGTGGCTGACTTTGAGAATTGCCGTGATCGCGATCGCGTGCGAGAGGGGTCGCCGTGGCATGTGAGCAAACATGCTGTAGTCCTGGCGGATTTTGATGCATGCATGAAGCCGTCAGAGCTCAATTTTGACAAGTTACAGTTATGGGCTAGAGTCCCAAATTTGCCCTTCAACTTGCAGAATGATAGGTGGGGAAAAGAAGTTGCTAAGCAGATTGATCCTAATGCAACACATGTCCACTTTGATCCAGTGGGAGGGTTCCTGAGAGCTAGGGTGACGATCAATGTCAATAAACCCTTGAGGCGATCGATTCTAATTGACTCGGCAAAGAGGGAGTCCAGGGACTGGTATGATATTCAGTATGAACATGTCCCAAATTTTTGTTTCTCGTGTGGTCGTCTGGGCCATGCAGATTTATTTTGTCCCACTCCGGGCACTCGTGATGAGAATGGGAACTTGCCGTTTACTACAAACTTACGAGCGCCAGAGGACAGAAAGGGTGCTAGTTTGGGGGATGGCTCGTCTAAAGAAACTCAAAATTCTGCAACTAGTAAAAAAGATGCAGCATCGTCGAACAACAAGCCTAGGGGAGAGGATGATGCCAACTCCCCAAAGAAGAGGCCTATTTATAAGAGGAAGGGGGGACCACAGGATGCAAAAGTTTACCGTAGGGTTGATCCTCTTGCCCTACCAAGTTCTGGCAGTTTGATTATTCCAAATGGAACTACTGCTGATATGGTGGTGTTTTCAGCCCAGAGAGTGGATGGCAGTGGTCCTACAGCTAGGGATGGAGGTGCTGAAGTTAGAGAGCCAAAAAAGAAGAAACCTACCCCTCCGTCATCTGAAAATTCGGCAGCGGCTGCTGGTCAGCCCTGCCAGGAGCCATGAAATGCCTGAGTTGGAACTGCCGGGGGCTTGGGAACCCCGAGGCAGTTCGAGAGCTTCGTAAATTAACGAAGCAAGAAGGGCCCGCCTTGCTCTTTGTTTCAGAGACGAAGATCAGGGCTAGACGAGTTGAGTTTCTGCAACGGAGTCTTGGTTTTGCGGGATGCTTTGCAGTGGATAGTGCAGGACTTAGTGGTGGAATTGGATTGTT